AAAGTTGATGAACCGCCCCTTGTTTTGCCTTTACAAAATATGTGGTTCAACTATTACTGTGATAACTTGGAAGGCAGATCATGTTCCAGTGGAGTCCATGACTAGAGAAGAAATAGCTAGAAAGAGCTAGAATGTTAGTAATGTTGATGATTTTTTGCTGCATTTAGCAACTTATTAAAAGAAATAGATAAATTCAAGAAAGAATAGACCATTTGCAAACAGATGTAAGGGGAAAAAAAGTATCCAGTAATTTAAGACCTCACAAGGTTGAAAAAGCCAACTGCTTCTACACCTCCAAACAGGAGATAAGGCTGTTGTTGCCTGTGAACCCACCACCACCACCACCCAAAAAAAAAAAAAAAAAGGGGCAAACTCCCTAAAGGATGAGCTTCCCAGAGTAAGGATGTTGCCTTTTTACCCAAGCCTGCCATCTTAGACGGCCTTAAGGTACCTGTCTTTAAAATGAGAAAACAAAGAAATAAGGCAGGTTACTAACTATATCTAGGAAAGAACTTGGTGTGATTATGGGCACTAACTAGAAGCAAGAACAGCAGAAGCCTACCAAACTTTTGAGGAAACTTCTCAGAGGGCCAGAGTCTCAGAAGAGAACAGACAGAGTTACTCGAAGACAGCAGAACCAGGAGTTGCCCATTGGCTACCCACAGAAATCAGGGACTCTTTGCAATCCCCGCCTATCAGAATTTGTTACTTGCTATGGTTCAGTGACTACTGTATATATTCCCAAACTTTCCTCTTTTGAACAGGAGCTGTTATTTCACATATCCTGGTCTTGCTCCTCCCTTAGTTTATTGGTGGCAGGGAGGGAAGACAACTTGAAGTTTAGTTTATAGGTGGCTGAGTATGGGAGTCGAATCTGGACCTGATGGAGAGAACTGTACAAGCGGAGATCCTCGACTTTTGAACTAGATGATGGGACTCTGGGTTGCTTTCCTTGGGGAGTGAGCAAGTATATTCTACGTGGGAAGAAGGGACTAGGCAGACGTCAAGTACACGCTGGTGGTGGACGAGCACACGCAGCTGGAGCTGGTGAGCCTGCGGCGCTGCGCCGGCCTGGGCCGCGACAGCGACGACGACAGCGGCGAGGCCAGCGAGGAGGACGCGGGCGCCGCGCGGCCGGACAGCTCGCCCGACAGTCCCGACCTCACCTTCTCCAAGAAGTTCCTCAACGTCTTCGTCAACAGCACGTCTCGGTCCTCCAGTGCGTGGGACGCGGGGAGGAAGGGCGGGGCTCCCCGGTCCCACACGGTCCCCAGAGGTGCCCAGAGTGGCCCCAGGTCCTCCCCAGGACCCCCGCCACCCGCTCTGGGCAGGACACGCCACACCAGCAGTGCGCAGGGGACGTGGCTCTGTCCCGAGGTCGGGCCTTCAAGTGCTTTCCCTCCGTGCTTCTCTGAGCCGTTGTCTGTGCCCATCTCTGTCTCAGGCACCGAGTCCTTTGGCCTCTTCTCCTGTCTGGTCAATGGGGAGGAGAGAGAGCAGACTCACCGGGCCGTCTTCAGGTAAGGCTTCTCCTGTCGCTGCCAGTGACCCCAACCTCAGTCCGCAGACACGACAAGGTGCTGGTGGACACAACCCAGCCAGTCCTGTCCCCTGCAGTGACTTCTTCCCTGACCTCAGGTTTATCCCCCGCCATCCGGACGAGCTGGAGCTGGATGTGGATGATCCGGTGTTGGTGGAGGCCGAGGAGGACGACTTCTGGTTCCGCGGCTTCAACATGCGCACGGGGGAGCGCGGTGTGTTTCCTGCCTTCTACGCCCATGCTGTGCCCGGCCCTGCCAAGGACCTGCTGGGTGAGGCCCCATCCCGGAAGGGCGGCTTGTCACCCCAGACCCTCCCCCCCACCTGACCCGCGCCCTATGCGAACCCCCAGGGACCAAGCGGAGCCCCTGCTGGGTGGAACGTTTCGACGTGCAGTTCCTGGGCTCTGTGGAGGTGCCCTGTCACCAGGGCAATGGCATCCTGTGTGCAGCCATGCAGAAGGTCAGTGTGGAGGCTCACACCAGCCTCGCAGGCTGGCACAGCCCCCTGGGAGCTCCAAGGCCTCTGGCCTCCTCCTGGGAGGGTTCAGGGGGTGATCCAGGGGAGTGGCACCCCGGCCTGATTCAGGGGTCAGAGCAGACAGGCCTCGGGCTGAGCTCGGCAGCTGTGCTGTTACCTCTGGGTCTCTTGGCCAGTTCCCCTTCGCCCGTCCTCTTCCTGTCTGAAAGTCAGGTCGGCTGTCACTGCCCCTTCCCCGGGAGTCCTTTGCTCACTCATTTGTTTGCTCAGCGGAACTTAGTGAGCAGCTGCCCGCCTGCCAGTCCTGTGACGGAGGATGGAGGACAGTGGAGCAGGACATACCTGCCCTCCCTCCAAGAGCTCCCGTCAAGCTTCTGGGAACGAGGCAGGGAGGAGCCCAGGGTGGGGGACCGTGTTCCTGACACCTGAGCCAAGAGGAGCAGCCAGCTGGAAGAGTGGCAGGAAGACAAGACAGGCTAGTGCAGAGGGGTGGCCAGCCCATCCTGAGAGCCGGCAATGGCCAAGGCCTCCTCTCACTTCTTCCAGAATCGCATCTTACAGGCCTTCGATGCCGAGTGTCTTCAAACTTAATCTAAAAAGAACAGAGCATAGTCCCACCAAAGGGAGGGAAAGAGGATCTTACAGGTCCTTAAGACCCTCTCCTCCCCTGACTTCTTCCTCAGATTGCCACCGCCCGGAAGCTGACTGTCCACCTGCGCCCTCCTGCCTCCTGTGACCTCGAGATCTCTCTGCGGGGGGTCAAGCTGAGTCTGAGTGGAGGGGGGCCTGAGGTGGGGGTGTGGGGGACTGGGGACCAGGGGAGGCTGGGAGGTGGGGTAAGGCAAGAGGCTCCAACCGAGGGACAGGCTGGCAGAAGTGGCCCCAGACCTTCTCTGTCTGACTCTGGATGCTTCTGCCCCCCTCTGCACTAGTTCCAGCGCTGCAGCCACTTCTTCCAGATGAAGAACATCTCATTCTGTGGCTGCCACCCCCGCAACAGCTGGTAAGGGCCTGGCCCTCCCCCAGAGTCCCCACAAAACCCAAGGGCTGCCCATACCCCAATCCCCCACCACTACCCTGAGAGCTACACCTGCACCCACTTGGCTCCATGAGTTGAACATCCACATGGCACCCACTCTGAGCCAGACTCAGGAGATGGGGATCACACAGGCTCCCACTTAGTCTGGGTGGGGAGACAGACACACAGAGAGTGTGAGAAGCATCTGTGGGTGGTCTGATGAGCATCTAAATGGGCACCGGTGGGCAGACCTGCAGAATTCTCCTGGGATTCAGGAAGGAGAGCCTTGAAAGTTGAGCAGGTGACAGGGTGGGGGAGCCCACAGGGCCCACAGCTGGGGGGATGTTCGGGTGCCCCACCAGGGGCTTGGGGCCTGGGAGCCAGGGGAGAAGCTACAGGGGTCATTGAAGGCCTGGGCCCTTGTGACTGTGCCAGGGAACTCATAATCAATCCTGCTGGTGGTGGGGCCACTGAGGGATCCTTGTGGAAGGTGGGGCGCTTAGGCTGGTGAGCTGGATCTGGCTGTGGTGCAGAGTGGACTGACCCAGGTGGTGCTAACAGGAGACCAGGTGGCTGCTGAGGTCATCCAGTTGCCGCGTCATGATGGGAAGTATGCACATGCAAGAGGCATGGAAGAGGTGGGATAGGCAGGACCTGGTGGATGGGCTGCAGAGACTGACCTGGAGGAGCTCAAGGGTGATGTCCACCTGGGTGGCGGGGAGATAGTGACCACACACCGAGAAGGGGTTGCGGGCATCAGTCACAGGTGCGGTGAGGCTGAAGTGGCCGTTGGTTACATGGGCCTGGTGCTTAGGAGGGAGACCTGGGGGGAAGGTGTCGGTCTGGAGCAGGTGCATAACTGAGGCCATGAGGAGGATGAGATGGCCGGGCAGAGGGAGCAGAGGGGGAGCTGGTGCAGGAGCAGCTGGCGGGGAGGCTGCAGGCTGCACCCAGACCCTGACTCCTGGCAGGAGGAGCCAGAGGGATGGACGGGGCCAACCAGAGGCTCGAAAGGACGGGGCAGTGGGAGGAGCAGGTCCTCACGGGCAGGCAGGGGTGGCCGGGCAGCGGCGTGTCGGGGTCATCTGGACTCTTGTGGCAGAGAACGACAGTGGCTCTGCCTGCTGCTAGGAGGTGCCCCGAGCCCAGTCTTGCGTCTTCTCCATCGAGGACTGAGATGATTTAATGGGATCCAGTGTTGAGACCCTTCTCAGGGAGGGAGGGGGCCAGGGACCTAGACCGGACAGCGGGGCCCGCTGTGGGCTGTGAGGACATGGGCTGGGGTGGCACCACCAGGAGAGGACGAAGGAGGACCCTTCTTTCCCACCAGAGGGAAACGACGGATGCCGCAAGCTCAGGCCTCCAGGCTGGACCCTGACCCAGCTGCAGTTCCGGGAAGAGAGATGGCCGGACAGGTGGCCTGTGGCCGAGAGATGGAGGTGGGGGTGGGGGAGGCTGAGGAGCTGCCGTCCCTGCGCAGACCCTCCTAATGCTTGTGTCATGAGGACCCAGCCTGGTCCTTGTCAGTGAGGCATGAGGCAACAGTGCTGGGCGAGTGGTGAACCCGCTGCCTTGTGCCGTGGGTGGTAGATGAAGGGTGTGCCGTATGGATGGGTCAGGGCTGCGTGTCTGGGCAAGACACCGACCCTCTGTGCCCAGCTGTGCATCAGGACGCTACCTCCTAGGGCTGTCGTGAGGTTCGTGTCAGTTAATTATACAACGTGGCTAGGACGGTGCCGCAGTGACACTCAGTAAGCAACATGTCAGCATTAGTGGTTGTCATCACAATTACCTGAATGCAGCATCTGAGGCAGGTCTTGTGACCACACAAGCACATGATCCTGGCAATGATATGATCACGTGGCCTCCCATCTGGTGGGACCAGAAAACCCCAAAGCCGAGCGGGAATGGATCGGATTGGCCGGCTTTGGGGGTGTCTGGAGTCTCGCACGGCAGGACTCTGCCCCTCCCTCCGTTTGGACAATAGTTTTTTTTTTTTTTTCCTTTTTGTCTTTTTTCGTGACCGGTAACGGGATCGCAACCCTCGGTGTCGCGCCCGCACCGCGCTCAGCCAGTGAGCGGACCGGTCTCTATACGGGATCCGAACCCTCGGTGGGAACACTCTACCGAGTGCGCCACCGGGCTGGCCCCTGGACATTAGTTTTTATTAATGTCTTGGGTGAGGAGACAGGGCACATTGGAATGGCGTGACTGACACAGTGCGGTGGGGACTCCATGCTTCTGCAGTTGGAGCAGGTGGTGGAACGAAAGAGGGTTTTAGGATGGGCTGATGTCAAGCCCTGCACCAGAGCTTGGGAAGTGGCTGTGAATTTGCAGGACCAGAAGTGGGGCTGGCGGGGGCCTGAGTCAGCAGGGGATGTGGTGCTCGGAGGCCAGGCTGGGGCCCTTGCTCCGCGGTCCCAGGCAGGCCCTGAGCAGGGCACAGAGGAACACGGCACAGGCCCAGGGAAGGAAGGTACGCCCGCGGCACACGAACTGCTCACAGGCGCCCCTGTGACCCCACAGTCCTGCGTCCCGCCCTCTCCCGAGCCCTTGTCCCCGCTCTGCAGACCAACTGGGGGTTGAGGCTGGGTCAGTGCCCTGACCCCGTCCACGCTGACTTCCCCGCAGCTACTTTGGCTTCATCACCAAACACCCCCTGCTGAGCCGCTTTGCCTGCCATGTCTTTGTGTCCCAGGAGTCCATGAGGCCAGTGGCCCAGAGTGTGGGGTGAGCGGGGTCCCAGAGTGGGGGCGGGGATGAGAATTTGTGCAGGGTGCTGGGGTGGCGAGTGGGGCTGAGAGGGTGGGGTGGGCGGCGAGGAGCCTGGAGTGGGAGAGCTGGGCAGTCGCGGCGGGCCCTGGGTGACTGGTAGAGGGCCCTGTCCCCGCAGCCGTGCCTTCCTGGAGTACTACCAGGAGCACCTGGCCTACGCCTGCCCCACGGAGGACATCTACCTGGAGTAGCAGGAACCTGCCCACCGCTCTCGACTCCTGCCCCGTCTGCTCCAGGCACAGCCCCGGCCGGGGGTGTCTCACGAGGCCACCATGGCTTTAGCAAGGACTGGATTGGGGGCGCGTTGGGCCTTATGTTTGTGGGAGTCCTCGGTCCCCAGGGCACGGTGTGGGAGCTGCCGGGGGGTATGTGGAACCCCCGCACCCCACTTTCCCTCTGATCCATTCTTTCTCTCTGTCGTCCCCATCTGCCCCCTCATTTCTCTCCTTGTGTTTCTCTACCCTTTTCTGTACCTGCAAACCTTGCCACCCTCTGCTCTTTATTTTGGGGTCAACTCCTGGGGTGCAGAGGAAGGTGAGTCTCTAGGTGACTGCTGAGGTCAGACTCCCAAGCAACCCCTCCCGCCCCTCCCCTGTGATTTATAAGAGAATTTTAATTTTTATAGTTAATCTCAAGGGATCATCCCATGCTGGACCACAGGGACAAAAAAAGGGGACCCCCCCCATGGAGCTCAGGGGGAAGCAGGGAGGGGCTCCCAAAAGAGCCTTGGGGAGAATAGGAGTGGCTCTTGATGGTCACCCGAGCCCCCAGACGCTGCTAGGGGGAGGCTGTCCCCCATCCCCCACCGTCCTCGCTTTGCCGCTGCTGCCACATCCCCTGCCCAGGGCATCTGCCCCGCTGCGCCCCACGCTGTGCACATGGGCCCTGCCCACGGCCTCAATAAACTCTGCTTGGTGTGACCCTGGCTGTTTCTAGGGGGGGTGTCTGCGGTGGTGCAGACGGAGACCCCGGTGTGATGGGTCGAGGCAATTGAGAGACATCTCCCCACTTCAGTGCTTTTCAAAATCATGCAGGGGTCCCTGCAGCACTCTACTGGGCCCACGTCCCAGGAGCCACATCTGAGGAACCCGTGGGGCCATAGAGGATGCTGAGGTCAGAGAGAAGGCGCTGGCCACGCAGTGTGTCCCTCACACGTGCTGGGGCACTGGCGGGCGCCTGCGGGGCTCCAATCACTTCAGGGGGTGGGGGGAGCATGAGCGAGGCCTTGAACACAGTCTACTTAGATCTTTTAAAATCCTTCACAGAAAGCCAGGGGGAAATAGGTGACAATGTTCACCATGCCCTTAGAAGGTCGTAGATGCTCAGCAAGGTCAGCACTGAGGGTGGGCCTGTGTCCCACCCTGCGCCCAGGACAGACCAGCGGTGAAGGCTGTGCACAGAAGAGTGACCAGAGCGGGTGGAGACACGTGCACTCTCTGCAAAAGCCACGTGCCTGCTCCAGCGTCGGCTCTGTGGGCCAGCGCGGAAAGAGTCGCAGTCAAGGGTGATGAAGGATTCAGACCTTCGGCACGTGAACAGCACAAACTGATTCCGGGGGAGGCTCCCAGTCCCCTCCCGTGGGTTAGGAGCCCAGGCTGGTCACACCAGAACACTCCATGTGTCCAAGATGATGAAGAAAAACACTTATGAGAAAACCGTACTCCTAATTAAGATGAAGTTGTAAAGAAGCAGACAGCACCCTTGGGTGTGCGCTGGAGCATCAGGGTGAGGCCCTCAGGCCCCGACCTTCCCCTCGCCCTCGGTTGGGTGGGGACTCCACACACTCGGCCCCCTCGATGTGCTCCGCGCTTTTCTGTAGGGTTCACCTTCCCCTCCTGCCACCTCATGGGCTGCCACTCCAGCCCCATGCCCTCCAGGCCCCTTCCACAGACTCCATGTGCTCAGGGCCCCACGCTCTGCCCCACACAGACCACTCAGCCCCTCTGTATGCTGAGCATTAACCTGCCAGCCCCAGCCGATCCCCAGGGGTTCTCCCCCACCGGTCACTGGGCTGGCACTCAGCACGATGACCTACCTGTAAAGGGCACTGGCTGCCACGGTGGCTTCAAACTCACAGAAGCCTTTTCCCCACTACCCTATTCATCTAGATTCTGTATTTTACCCTTTCCCTGGTCTCTCATGCTGCAGGCCTGGGGTCACTCCACCCTCCCTCCTGTCACCGTCATCCCACCCAAAGTCTGTCTGTGGCTCCATACTCTTCCCCTGCCTGTTGCTTTGCCTCCCACGGATTTGTCACCCCTTTTCCCCTGGGCGATGGAGCCACCAAAGATTACTCTAAGCCCATCTCTTCTGAGCAGTGAGAAGCCCCAAAAAGGGGTTAATCTCCCGGAACCCTCAAGAGAGAGGCATTCCTTCCATTTGGGAAATGAACCATGAATTGGGGTTCTCTTCCCGCATTTATTCTCCAGACCAGGAAGTTACAGGAAGAGACATAGGTGGGGTTTTTGCTAAGTATCGTAACAGGTTTTACAATAGAAGCTGGTGACATTCGGTAAGACAAGCAAGGGGACCTTCCATAATGCAATTTTCAAGAAGTTAAGTCAATCCACCAACAAAAGCTTGATTTTAGCAAGCATTCTTTTCTTACAGCAATTTCCCAGGATCTTTCCATATCAATCAGTAACCTGTGTGTCTTTCAGCCAGCAACCTTGCTGTGTTACAAGTCTTTATCTTACAATGGACACTATAGCCTGGGGAAAATTTCCTGTCCTTTGCAAGGTCAATATTTGAAACTGCAAGGCTTTGGAACTCCAGGCCCTGTGAGGTACAGTTGCTTTATGCATCCTCCCCCTTCCCTGCCTCCGCATGGATCACAACACCTTCAGTTTCCTCCTGGATCTTCGTGCAACAAACTGGCTCCTCCAGGCTCGGTGCCTTCACCTGCACCTGCACCCAGACCAGGGGTTTTGAACAGAAGCCTGAGCAGATCTTATCCGTTAAACTCTGCAGCAGCTCCCTGTTAAACCTCATCCTGACCCACCCCAGCCCTTCTCCAGCCTCCTCTACCCTCCACCCTGCTTCTGTCCTAGGAAACTCTGAGTATCCTGTGAGCACTGCTGCCTTCCCTGGTGACCATGGGGTGGACTCCCATCCTCCTGGGTGCTAGGGGGCCCTGGGCCTTGGGCTTGGGTGAGGTGTGGCTCCTGCCTGCTCCCCTGGCAGAGGCTGCTGACCCATCCCCAGAGAGCAGGGGCATGGCCGATGCCGTGTGGTCCTCCTGGGACCCGGAGCAGTGCCTGGCACATATGCAGGCAGCCTGCAGAGTGCTGAGTGATGCCTCCAACACCCGTCCTCCAATTGCTGAAATCTAGGCCAAGGATAGCATTCTAAATAAAAAGCTTTCTACACAAAACTGTTCATTGCATTCTTGTTTAAAATAATGAAAGCATAAAAGTAATCTAAATACTGTCCAACAGGATTAACCAAATTCAGGTATATTTACCTAATTGAAATATTGGGCAGATATGAAAAAAGTGTGCTTACTGACATTTTATAATAATACTGAAAATATTTGGTATGCCATTAGGAGAAAGTGAATATGCAGAATCATACATGCTGGGAGCCATGTGTTGCAAAATTGCTGGAGATAGGGCTGAAGGGGCTTCTCTTTATTTTTTTCGTCAATGCACATGGCTTAATTGTTTTAAGCTTTATATGCTGCTTATTAGAGACATCCAAATGCAAATAAAAACTTCCACAGAAGAAGTGAAAGAAGTTAAGATACATTAATCAAACAAAAAAGTTATTTTGGCCACAGTAAAAATACCCACCTCCTAAGATTGTTGTAAAGCTTAAATGAGTTTACCGGTCAGGCTGAGGGCAGCACTCTATCAGATTACTGCTTTTGTAAACACCATAATCTCTATTTTTAAAAATATCAATTAAAAAGAGTCACTATAGAAACTTTGGAGACTGCAGAAATTGGAAAGAAGGTTAACACGACTATGTTTTCACAATCCAAAGATGACTATTGCTAATATTTTGGTCTATTGGTCCAGCCTCTTTTCTATATGTGGGTTTTATTTTATTTTGCGTGAAGCCAGAGGGAGATCAGGGGAACCAAGGAAGAATTTAAGGCAAAAGATTAAAGCAGAACAGCAGAGGTCACTATAAAATGCCACAGGAACAATGAAGAGCAATGATCTTAGCACAGCAGCTCCCTCGTCGGAAACACACGGACAAACAAACGTTTCAAAAAGTTTGAGTGACAAGGAAAAGGAGGAAAACATCATCAGAATGGACTGAATTTGCCTCCATCCGTTTACAATAAAAAACGTAGAACGGAAAATACAATTACGTAATTAATAAGGTAAAACAAAGACATGCGCGCCCTGGATTTCACGTCCTGCATACAGAGAACACCATTCTTTTTGGATGTCGATGAAAATGTTTCAACAGTGGATCATGTAACAGGTATAAGAGCAAAGCGTTCAGCTGCCAGAGAGAATCCCGGGAAGACGAACCCACACGGTCAGGAGGTCTGCAGGTGGCAAGACTGGTGTGGCTGCTGGAGATGTCATTAAGGACGCATGCTCCTTGCCCTTGTCCCGTGTCCTGAGCAGGGGACCTTTGTCCTCGTGGCTGCATACCGAGCATTGCACTTGACTTGCAGGCAGGAGGAAGTGCAAGGGTGGGGCAGGCGTCTGGCTTTGCAGAAGCCCCACTGTGTGCTGGAGGGAGGAGTGGGCAAGAGCCAGTCAGGGAAGGAGGAACAGCCGGAATGAGGCACTTCCTCACGGCCGGGTCCCCTCCCTGAGCTGTGCACCCGCAGGATGGGGAGCAGGACCATGCATGCACTGGCTCTTGGCCCCCACAGCTTGAGGGCCGCCCCCAGGGTGTTCATCGTCATCCTTCTGAGCAGCTCACATGCCGCTTGAGAGGACAGCGAGGAAGCAAATCCTGGGACCAGCCACCTACAGCTGAGGACAGAGGGCCGTGCCCAGGCCCTGATCTGCACAGCCCTTCTGACGTCCTTGAGAGAGGCACAGAGTAGAACCCACACCCGGGAAGCTTGGCAAAGACACTCCACCCACTGAGCGGCGGGTGCAAAGGTCCCCCAAGCCAGAGTGCGGGTGACGGGGATTCAAATGACACTCCCTGAAGAGGGTCAATTAGGGAATGTCTTAGTGCCGAGCAGAGCAGGGCTAAGGTGCAAAGGTCCCCCAAGCCAGAGTGCAGGTGACGGGGATTTAAATGACACTCCCTGAAGAGGGTCAATTAGGGAATGTCTTAGTGCCGAGCAGAGCAGGGCTACCAGGCACCGCTTCCCTGAGACCACAGCCGTGAGTTGGTTTGTGGCGTGAATGCAGGTGTGGTGGGGACATGTACAGGTGTGACGTGTGGCGCGGGGGAGTCCACACAGCTCGAGGTTTCTCCCCGCGCCACCTCCCACCCTGGCCACATTTTATGGGATCGGCATAAAACACCTGCCAGCTTGTCTCACGTCCTAGTTCCTGTCCTGCGGCACCCAAGGCCACAAACCTGGAGTCACAGAATCCAAAGTCAGCCTGTGCCCACCCCAGAGGCTCCGTGTACCCGTGAGTAGAAAGAGAATCAACAATTCAGCCCCAGACACAGTCTCAACCGTCCTTTCAGTTGATGACAAACGGACGACGTTGCTTTTATTTGTTTCCCTTGTGCAACTTCGGAGCAAAAAGGAGCAGCTGGCCCTTGTGTTTATCTGGTGGCCCCTCGCCCTTCCCACGTGCTGCCCCATGCCAGTCTCAACCGTCCTTTCAGTTGATGACAAACGGACGACGTTGCTTTTATTTGTTTCCCTTGTGCAACTTCGGAGCAAAATGGAGCAGCTGGCCCTTGTGTTTATCTGGTGGCCCCTCGCCCTTCCCACGTGCTGCCCCATGCAGGTCTCAGCTCTGCTGAATCCCGCAGCCTCACCCAGACAGAACCTGCCATCCCGGAGGCGTGACCCACAGCCCCGGCCTGGGTCTGGTATGAGCTTTGCATGGAGCTGGCGCTGACTGGCTGTCGCTTGGGGTTTCCAGCTGCCTAGTTCTCAGTCATGGTCAGCTGAGGGCTGTGGAAGAAGCTTTGGAGAAGCCTCAGCCCCACTGGTCACCACGAACCTCACCCCCACACCGCTCCTTCCTCAGGAACCCTAGTGAGGGATCGGGCTGTCCAGCTCCCTCGGTTTGGGGACTTGGCCAGTCGCGGTGGACAAGGAGGGGGGGCGCGCTGCTCAGGGGTGGCTCCTCCCCTGGGGGTGGCAGGTGGGGACAAGTGAGTCCCAGGAAGTGGTCCCCCGCCCTCACTGGAAACACTGCATGTCACACTGAACCCACCTGTGTCAGCACCTGTGCCCTGAGCTTGGCTCCATGATGGCAGGGGCCCTGTCCCGTGTGACCGGTTTCTCTCACCCAGCACACATTTGCTGGCACTAGGAGGGTGGGGGTTCAGATTTAATTTCCTTCTGTACCAATTAGCATTCTGTGGTCATAACCAACCTACAGAAACCAACTCTGGGTAACTTAACCAAAAGGAAAGTTATTTGGAGGGTACTGGGGACTCCCAGAGATAAAAAAGAAAGCAGAATAAGGGGCATTAAAGAGGAACTGTGACCCCCTCGAGGGATGGGTGGGCGACAGCTTCTGCTCTCAGCCTAGCTCTGCTACAGACAGGTGACCACCCTGCGTGGTGGGGTCCCCACTACCCCGAGATCTGCTTCCTGGTGAGGGGCTGGAGTCCTCAAGATAGGGGCAGGCTCTGGACACCCAACAGCGCACACAGCTGCTCATTACATATCGTTACAGTGTCTGCAAAATCACTGAGGAAGTTTCCACTCTTGCCGTGGAAGCCTGGAGCTGGCCGCCCCCAAACTGCCCCATCCCCCGAGGGGCTGGGAGTGTTAGCTTGGATGACCCTCGGGGGGCTCTCTCCCTTGGGTCCCTTTCTCCTAAGGCTGCCTGAGAGGAGAGACCCAGCTCTCCTTCCTCCCAGGGGTGTGCAGAGCTGCCGAAGGGGTGCAGTTTGTGGGGAACGTCACCGAGCCCAGCGGGGCTGTGCCCTGGGCCTGCACGGCTGTGTCCACCCTGAGGGACAGTCTTTTTCTTCACCCAGAGGAGCGAGGAGGCTGGAGAGGGCGTGAATAAATGCAACCCCCTACATTACTGCTGCCCCTGCATGAGGCCCAGGGCCGCAAGGGTGACAGGACACGTCGGGCATCAAAAGGCAGCGTCCAGGGTGCAAGGAGGGTGAGGTTAGGGCTGAGCTCAAGGCCCAGGGTTAACATGTGTTTTCTGCACGAGCACAGAGGACGATGTGGGGTGGACACCCAGCTGACGGCACTGCTGCCTGGGGCGGAACGGAGCACACATGGTTCAGGTCGCTCTAATGAGCACACGTTAATCTGTAATTAAAAATATTCAAAGAGGCAAATTTGAACAGTGTTCTGGGGAAACATTGTCTGTTGCTCCCCCTTCTGGTCACTTGGGGGTAGGTGCGTGCTGAGCAAGGGCGGGCGATGGAGATGGATGTCACCCTGCAGGTGCGCCCCCTCCCGCGGGTCACTGGGTCACTTGGGCTATGGATCTCTCCTGTGCCTTCCTAACTCACCCGAGGGGAAACCACGGCAGCAGCATGTTTGTTTGTTCTCTCCGTTCCAAGACACACTCAGCCCTCCTGGAGGACGCCGGGCTCCCGCAGAAGCCGCCCTGTGGGAATGGAGAGCCGCCAGCCCGGTGAGTGGATTATCTCAGGACCACAGGGAAAGGTGCTGATTTTAAAGTCAACAGTAGCAGCGAAGAAAGGGACGCTGCTGACAGCACGGGGCCACCGCAGAGTGCGTGTGCACGAATGTGAGTGAACATACGTGTTGTGTGTGAGCACACGTGTGCATGGACGAGTGTGCGTGCCTGCATGAGGGAGGTGCATTGGGCTAAAACACCCAAAGTTATGAGAAATAAACATTTCTGTACCGAAATGAGTCAGAGCCAAACTGCAAGAGCAGCGGGAGGGCAGAGGACGTGCTGCTCTCCCCAGCCTTGGGTCTGCGGGTGGGTGACACCCCTCCTCAGCTCTCAGGCAACAGGGAGGTGGCCCTGACGGGCTCAACTATCCCGCTCCTGACTATGCTCTTGCACGACCAAGCACTCTCCCTTTGCAGCATTTATCAAGGTTAGATTTTTATTTTATTGAAGTATAAAGTACACAGTGACATCATAAAGTACACAGCTCTTAACCATTTAGCTTGATTGCTTCACACCTGTGTACACACCACATTGCCACGCCCCCAGTCAAGGCGAGAACGTCTACAATAGCCCCAGGTTCCCAGTGTCCCTTCCAGGCAACGTCCACCCCCCTCCGCACAAGAGGTGGTGACTTCTATCACACTGACATCCACACGTCTGACACCCTGCTGTGAGCTTATCTCCGTGTTCGGCTCTGACAACTCCATGCCCAGCACTGTGTGGTGCTGGTGGGTGGACACGGGCAGTCAATACTGCGATGCACAGCACCCAAGTGAGGAGCAGGGCGGCGGGGCAGAGGAAGTGGCCTGTGTGTGGTGCTGGCCTCCGTGTGGACTTAGCTCTTGCCGGAGGGTTTGGTCTTTGGGTGTGACACGTTGATTGTGCCTCTGCCTCAGTTCCTCTGTCCTCTCCCTGAACCAAGACACCATATGGGGCCAGCAGCTCACTCACACCACAAATGCAGCCTGCAGCCCTCACTGTGCCAGAGTAGGCGGCTGCTGGGGACCCCGAGGAAACCACTGTCCTTTGGGGGTGGCTCCGAGACACAGCAGGATTTGGCATATGATTAGAAGTGATGGGAGAGTTGCATAAGAAGAAGGGGCCTCTGCACGTGGTGCCTGACACCACGGGCACGCAACACGCGTGTGCACACACACACACACGCTCACCACATGCTTCATCCGCACAGTCCAGCAAGGCTGCTTCTGGCTGCAAGTAACAGACGGGACCCTGGCAGCGGCTTAAACAGGCAGGTATATTTTCTCACACTGGAGCTCTGCAGGTGGGCAGTTGGAGACACTGGTTTGGCAGCAGCATGATGTCTAGGCAGGGCCAGTGACTCTGCCACTAGGTGTTCCTTACCTCCCAGGGGACTGCCCCAACCTTTCACCACAAGGACTCTTCTTGGTCACAGGCCCCTCCTGGACCAATCTTTGGATTGTGACTGATTCAGACTGGTCACTACCCTCCCGACGTCAAGGGGCTTTGCCCACCACTGAGGAAAGAGGGGGTCCATTAGTGAGGAAGTGGGTGGCTGTTTGGCAGGCAACGAACAGCGTCTGCTGTGCAGAGGAGTCTGCACACCCACATGGTGTTCTTTTCCTTCAGCCAACACCGAGGCAGTGCCTGCTGTGGGACAGCCATTTGGGTGGGCAGGGGTCCTGAGGCCAGTTGCCATGCATGCAGACACAGGCAGGTGGTCAGGACATCCCTGTGCAGAGGCGGCCAGCAATGCAGGTGGAATGTTGCTGGTGGAAGGACACTCAGGCCATGGCTGCGGGCCGACGAGGTGCGAGTGGGGCAGGCCTCAAGGGCAAAGTGGGCCACCATAAGAAGTCTGGATCTCACTCTGAGAATGATGGGAAGCCTGTGGAGTTTTGAGCAGGATGGAACCTAACTTGATGGACTTTTTAGGAGATCACTTTGTCCACGTCAAAGGTAAAACTGGGAGACAGGAAGTGTGTGTGCAGGTGAAATGCAGAGCCTTGGGCGGGTGGACCAGGGTCCAGTGGGGCTGTCTCAGGAGCTGCTGATATGCCTTTCTGAGAGCTGGCAGGGCCCCAGGGCCCCTTATCTGCACCGGGAATGTGCACCTCATCACCTGCCTTCACACAGGTTTCTGATAAGAACCAAGGTGGTCTAGTTCTTGTGCCTCTAAGAATGCTTTTTCCTGGGAAAAAATCTGTCTCTCCCAGGCACTCTGCATCTTCTGGAGTTTTCTGTCCCCAAGCTCTCCCACGCTCCCACCCAGCTCCCGGCACCTAAAAGCACTTAGGACTGCTCTGCTGAGTGATGTGCCACATTCTCGTGGCTGGTGTGTGCATGTGCACAGACATACATAGATCGCCAAGGTGCTGGGAAGCCTCTGGAGTCAGGACACCTGGGTTGCAATTTCAGCCCAATCTCTTTCTGGCTGGGTGACCTTGGACAAGTCCCTGAATCTCTCCATGCCTCAGTTTCCTCATTTGTAACACAGGGGAACAGCATCGACCTCAGAGAGTTACCACAAGGATTAGATGAATTATCACACCTGCAAATCTCAGCTGGTGTTATTACGTTATCACTTACAACTACCTCCACACACCTGACCCCCCACCACAGCAATGAACCACCGCATGCCTGGGACGGGCAGGGGTCCCCCATGTGGACCGGGCTGGTGCCCTTAGGACTGGGTGTCGGGGCAGTGGCAGCAGGCTGGGTGGGGGCTGCAGCCTGGCTGGCAGCAGATCTGCAGGGCGGGGTCCTTACCCCGCGCCATCTGGCTGGGGCCGAAGGTCACAGTCGCATCAAACTGGGCCTTGAGCAGCTGGAGATGCTTCATTGCCTGCAGCACCTCGGGGGTGACCTCAGCCACACTCTCCAGAAGGTTGTAGTTCTCACCAGGGTCCTCAGACAGGTCATACAGCAGGGGGGGCTCATGTGGGGTCAGAAGGCTAGAGGCGTGGCAGGCAGGGTCTGCAGTGGTCTCGCTGTGGGCAGAGCCTGGGGAGGGGTCAATTCTGTGCACAGGGCCGGAGCGAGAGGAGAGGCCGGGACTTTGGGGCTGCTGGGAGGGGGCAGCTGGGAGGGAGAAAGGGTCCAGAGGAGGAGGTTACCCTGGGTGAAGAAATGGGCCTTGTACTTTCCGCTGCGCACAGCAAAGACCCCATGGATCTGGTTCGGGAAAGCCGGATAGAAGAAGACAGACTGCCGAGGGCTCTAGGAGCAAAATGGGGGGTCACAGGGTGGGCGGGGCCCTCAAGTGACTGCACATATCCAGAGGTGCCAGCCTTTGTGTTAGGCCCTCGATGTGTACCCGCTTGTCTACCCAGGAATCTGAGACGTGGCACCACTTGGTAGTTATGCAACAAAGGAGACACAGAGGCACAGAGACTCTCAGACCCTGCCCACACTCACACCCGGGGAGGGCAGACATCTGGTGGGGCCGAGGGGCTGGGATCTAGGGGTCACTGGCCCTACCTTGCCTGTGCCCAGGAGCAGGGGGCTGATGTCGAAGCCATCCAAGGTGACGTTGGGCAGCGGGGACCCGGTCAAGGCTGCCAGGGTAGGCAGCAGGTCCAGGGAGCTGGCCAGCTCATGGGTCACGCCTGTGGGCAGAAGGCTGCTTGGTCACTCAGTTCACCATCAAGGTTGGGGAGGTGGGGCCAGGGGTCCATAAGGAGAGGGCCTGAGGACTGACCGGGAGCGATGTGGCCTGGCCAGAAGGCCAAGGCAGGCTCTCGGACACCCCCCTCGAAGGTCGTTCCCTTTCCGCATCGCAGGAGACCAGAGCAGCCGCCAAGGGACATGCGCATCGTCTCAGGTCTGGGACACACATGGAGGTCCCAGGGAGGAGGAGCTCAGGGCCTTTGACCCTGTCCCCTCCCTGGCCCATACGACCAGCACCTCTGTGCACCTGCGGCCCCAGCCTCCCGACTGCACCTGCAGGTCACCATAACATGGCCAGCATCTCCAGAGGCCCCTTTATCCCACTATGTCTTTGGCCAGCAGCTGAGATGGAAGGACCCCAGGGCCCTGGCCTGTGAAAGGGCAATGAGTGTCCCGCCGTTCCTGCTGACATACCCATTGTCTGCAGTGAAGATGACCAGTGTCTCTCCAAGCAGCCCCAGGTTCCCCACAGCTGTCATCAGGGCCCCTACGGCTGCATCCAGCTCCATCAGGGAGTCCCCAAATGGCCCGCGGCTAGAGCGCCCTGTGAAGCTCTGCCCACTGAACTGGGGGTAGTGGGTGTGCTAAGGGTAGAGACTGGAGTTAGCACTGGGCAGGGGTCATGGGCTGCCAGGAGGGCGGGGCCAGGGTCACTCACGTGGGAGGCGTAGTACAGGAAGAATGGGCGGCCCTGGCGCTGGGCATCGGTCATGAGGTCGCAGGCAAAAGACACATAACGGGCCTCTAGTCCAGGCAGCCAGGGGGGCTGTACCTCCACAGACAGGTTGGCCAGCAGTGGGATGGGAACCAGGCCCTGGTCACAGCTGCCTTTGCAGGGGGTGGCTGGTGGGAAGCAGGTCAGGTTCTGGCAGGGGCCCTGGGGAGAAAGCTCCAGTGAAGGGTCCAGGCTGTGGGGTGGGGACTTGAGGGAGGGGTATAGGGAGCCTGGCTGAGAGTCCTGCTGGTTCGTACCTGGTCATGGGAGTATGGGATACCTAGGAACCGATGGAAGCCGTGGTGCGGGGGCAGGAAGGCCCCCTCTGGCCCCACTCCAAGGTGCCACTTGCCAGCCATCCCTGTGAGGTAGCCTTGGGCAGCCAGGAGTTCAGCCAGGGTCACCTCGTCCAGGGGCAGGCCCCCCCGGGAGCTGGGCTCCAGGACTCCAGGGTACATGCCCATCCGAACAGGGAGTCGGCCAGTCAGGAGGGCGGCCCTGCAGAACAAGCCACAGGGTCTGTGAAACAGACCGACGGACATAGAGGGGGAAGGGGAGAGAGAGAAGGAAGACAGAAACGTGGACTTCCCCACAAAGAGAGACAGAGAGACAGACCCTCTTCCTCCCCATCACAATCCGGGGTGCATATGGGAGGAAGTCATGGGCCGGGAGGGGTAGGAAGGGCCCCCTTGCTCACCGCGAGGGGGTGCACAGCGACACGGGCACGTAGAAGTCAGTGAAGCGCAGCCCCCCTGCAGCCAGGCGGTCCAGGTTGGGGGTGGTGGAGCTGGGGTGCCCGTAGGAGCCCAAGTCCCCATAACCCAGGTCATCAGCAAAGATCAGCACAATGTTGGGTGGCTTGGCGGTGGCCACGCCAGCAGCGAGGGCCAGGAGCAGAGCCCGCAGGGCCCCCATGGCTGCAGAAGACCCCTTGGGAGGGGAGACAAACGGGCTCGGCAGGCTCTTCCCTGAGACCCCAGACTCAAGTATCCCCCGGCTCCAACGACCCGCTTCCTGGAGCTCCAGCGGACCCAAGAGGACGCAGGAGCCCGGGGCCTGGACTGCAGCTCCAGGAGACCCCCCCAGGACCAGGACACTTTCCGATTCTGCGGCCGCGATCTGACCCTCTGCGACTGGAGGGTCGGGGCAGAAGTCACACGACAGCGGCCCGAGGCGGCCTGCGGTCAGCGGTGCCTTCCGCGGGCGCTTCCGCCTCGGCCCGGCCCTGCCCCCGCCCCGAGGT